GTCCCCAAATCCCCTCTGGGACCCCAAAAACGACCCCAAACCCCCAAAATCCCTCCCAAAATGAGGCTGGGACACCCCAAAAATGCCCCTGAACCCCAAAAACGACCCTCCCCGAACCCCAAAATCCCTGAAAGACCCCAAAACTCGCAGTTTCGCGCCTTAGAAACCCCAAAATCCGCTCAGGACCCCCCAAAATCCCCCCGGGAACCCCCAAAATCCCCCCGGGAACCCCAAAATCCCCCCCGGGAACCCCAAAACCCCCGGTGGGCCCCACCGTGACTCAGCTCGCGGCGTTGCCCTTTTAAGGCTCCGCCCACTCGGGGCGGGCTCGCGGTGACGTCACCGCAGCAAGCCCCGCCCACGCCCCGCGAGCGCCGCAGCGGAGCCCAGGTGGGGGCGGGGGGAGGGGGCGGAATTTTGGGGTGAAAAAGGGAGAATTTGGGGCCGGGCGGGAGCTGTGAGGGAAAAGGGGTTGAGTTTGGGGTGGGAAAGGCGGAATTTGGGGGAAAAAGGCGGAATTTGAGCGGAAAAAAACGAATTTTGGGGCGCTGGGGTGGACGTTTTGAGCGGTTGGAGGAAGTCGTGAGGGGAAAAGTGCGGGTTTTGAGGGAAAAAAGTGGATTTTGGGGTGAAAAAGGCAGATTTTGGGGATTGGGAGGAAATCGTGAAGGGAAAAAGTGCAGGTTTTGAGGTGAAAAGTGCAGATTTTGGGATGCGGGGCAGATTTTGGAGTGAATGAGGAAATCGTGAGGTAAAAAGTGGAGATTTTGAAGCAAAAAATCATATTTTGGGGTGAAAAAGTGAATTTTGGGGAGTGGGAAAAAATCCTGAGGGAAAAAAGCTCAGGTTTTGTGGTGAAAAGTGCAGATTTTGAGGTGAAAAGTGCAGATTTTGGGATGCGGGGCAGATTTTGGAGTGAATGAGGAAATCGTGAGGTAAAAAGTGGAGATTTTGAAGCAAAAAATCATATTTTGGGGTGAAAAAGTGAATTTTGGGGAGTGGGAAAAAATCCTGAGGGAAAAAAGCTCAGGTTTTGTGGTGAAAAGTGCAGATTTTGAGGTGAAAAGTGCAGATTTTGGGATCCGGGGCAGATTTTGGGGTGAATGAGGAAATCGTGAGGTAAAAAGTGGAGATTTTGAAGTAAAAAACCACATGAAAAAGATTGTGAAGCAAAAAAGTTCAGGTTTTGAGGTGAAAAGTGCAGATTTTGGGATCTGGGGCAGATTTTGGGGTGAATGAGGAAATCGTGAGGTAAAAAGTGGAGATTTTGAAGTAAAAAACCACATGAAAAAGATTGTGAAGCGAAAAAGTTCAGGTTTTGAGGTGAAAAGTGCAGATTTTGGGATCTGGGGCAGATTTTGGGGTGAATGAGGAAATCGTGAGGTAAAAAGTGGAGATTTTGAAGTAAAAAACCACATGAAAAAGATTGTGAAGCGAAAAAGTTCAGGTTTTGAGGTGAAAAGTGCAGATTTTGGGATCTGGGGCAGATTTTGGGGTGAATGAGGAAATCGTGAGGTAAAAAGTGGAGATTTTGAGGTAAAAAGAAGATTTTTGAGGTAAAAAAAACAGATTTGGGGATGAAAAAGGCAGGTTTTGGGGATTGGGAGGAAATCATGAAGGTAAAAAGTGGAGGTTTTGAGGTGAAAAGTGCAGATTTTGGGATCTTGGGCAGATTTTGTGGTGGGTAAGAAAATCATGAGGTAAAAAGTGGAGATTTTGAGGTAAAAAGGCAAAATTTAAGGTGAAAAAGTGCAGATTTTGGGGTGGAAAAGGCAGATTTGGGAGATTGGGAGAAAATCCTGAAGGAAAAAGTTCAGGTTTTGAGGTGAAAATTGCAGATTTTGGGGTAAAAATGCCGATTTTGGGTTCTGAGGCAGCCTTTGGGCTCTGGGGCAGACTTTGTGGTGGTTGAGGAAATTGTGAGGTAAAAAATGGAAATTTTGAGGTTAAAAAAGTAGATTTTGGGTTTAAAATGGCAAATTTTGGGGTTTGGGAGGAAATCCTGAAGTAAAAAGTGGAGATTTTGAGGTAAAAAGTGCCGATTTGGGGGTAAAAATGCAGATTTTGGGGTTAAAAAATGCAAATTTTTGGTGTTGGGAGGAAATCCTGAGGTAGAAGGAGCAGATTTTGAGGTAAAAAATGCAGATTTTGGGGGTAAAAATGCAGAGTTGTGGGTGAAAAGGCAAATATTGGGATACGGGGAGAAAATTGTGAGGTAAAAAAATCAGATTTTGGTGTCTGGCTGCAGATTTTGGGGTGAAAATGAAGATTTTGGTGCCTGAGAGGCAAATTTGGGGCAAAAAAAGCGGATTTTGGGGCTTGGGGGGAGATTTTGCGGCAGAAATGGGGAAATTTGAGGCTGAAAGTGTCAAATTTGGGGTGAAAAAAGGAAATTGGGGATGAAATGGGGCTGGTTTGGGGTGAAAATGGCAAATTTGGGGGTGAAGGGGACAGATTTTGGGGTGAAAAAGGCAAATTTAGGGGTGCAAAAGGGTGATTTTGGGGTGAAAAATTGAATTTTGGGGTGCAAGATGTGGATATGGGGGTGAAAAAGTCAGATTTTGGGGTACAAAAGTCAAATTGTGAGTGAAAAATTCAAATTTGGGGGTGAAAAGTTGAATTTTGGGGTGCAACAGCCAAATGTTGGGGTGAAAAAGTTGAATTTGGGGGTGCAAAAGGCAGAATTTGGGGTTAAAATGCAGATTTGGGGTGAAAAAAGTCGAATTTTAGGTTGAAAAAGGCAAATTTGGGGTGAAAAAACTGAATTTGGGAGTGCTAAAGCAGATTTTGGGGTGAAAAAGTCGAATTTTGGGGTACAGAAGGTGGATTTGGGGGTGATGAAGTTGCATTTGGGGTGAAAAGATTTAATTTTGGGCTGCAAAAGTCAAATTTTGGGGTGCAAAAGTCGAATTTTGGGGTGCAAAAGTCGAATTTTGGGTGAAAAAGTCACATTTGGGGTGCAAAAATCAAATTTGGATGTTCCAAAGGCATATTTTGGGGTGAAAAAAATCAAATTTTCTGTGAAAACTTGAATTTGAGGGCTCCAAAGGCAGATTTGGGGTGCAAAGTGCAGATAATGAGGTAAAAAAGTTGATTTTATGGGGTGCAAAGTGCAGATATTGAGGTAAAAAAATCAAATTTATGGGGTACAAAGGCAGATTTTGGGTGCAAAGTGCAGATATTGAGGTAAAAAAAGGTGATGAAGTTGCATTTGGGGTGAAAAGATTTAATTTTGGGCTGCAAAAGTCAAATTTTGGGGGGAAAAAGTCGAATTTTGGGTGAAAAAGTCACATTTGGGGTGCAAAAATCAAATTTGGATGTTCCAAAGGCATATTTTGGGGTGAAAAAGTCAAATTTTGCTGTGAAAACTTGAATTTGAGGGCTCCAAAGGCAGATTTGGGGTGCAAAGTGCAGATAATGAGGTAAAAAAGTTGATTTTATGGGGTGCAAAGTGCAGATATTGAGGTAAAAAAATCAAATTTATGGGGTACAAAGGCAGATTTTGGGTACAAAGTGCAGATATTGAGGCAAAAAAATCAAATTTATGGGGTACAAAGGCAGATTTTGGGTGCAAAGTGCAGATATTGAGGTAAAAAAAATCAAATTTATGGGTTCCAAAGGCGGATTTGGGGTGCAAAGTGCAGATTTGGGGTGCAAAGTGCAGATATTGAGGTAAAAAGTCAAATTTATGAGTTCCAAAGATGGATTTGGGGTGATAAGTGCAGATTTTAGGGCCCCACAGGTGGATTTGGGGTGCAAAATGGGGATTTTGGGGGTGATAAATGTGGATTTTAGGGTTCCACAGGCAGATTTGGGGTACAAAGCGCGGATTTTAGGGCTCCCAACTGCAGATTTTAGGGTCCCACAGGTGGATTTGGGGTGCAAAGTGCAGATTTCAGGGCTCCTAAATGCAGATTTTAGGGTTCCACAGGTGGATTTTAGGGTCCCACAGACGGATTTGGGGTGCAAAGTGTGGATTTTAAGGCTCCTAACTGCGGATTTTAGGGTCCCACAGGTGGATTTGGGGTGCAAAGTGCAGATTTTAGGGGTGATAAATGTGGATTTTAGGGTTCCAAAGGCGGATTTGGGGTGCAAAGTGCCGATTTTAGGGGTGATAAATGCGGATTTTAGGGCTCCACAGGCGGATTTGGGGTGCAAAATGGGGATTTTGGGGGTGATAAATGTGGATTTTAGGGCTCCACAGGCGGATTTGGGGTGCAAAATGGGGATTTTGGGGGTGATAAATGTGGATTTTAGGGTTCCACAGGCGGATTTGGGGTGCAAAATGGGGATTTTGGGGGTGCAAAATGCGGATTTTGGGGCTCCACAGGCGGATTTTGGGGCTCCAAAGGCAGATTTTAGGCTTCCACAGGTGGATTTTAGGGTCCCACAGGCGGATTTGGGGTGCAAAGTGCCGATTTTAGGGGTGATAAATGCAGATTTTAGGGCTCCACAGGCGGATTTTGGGGCTCCTAAATGCAGATTTTAGGGTTCCACAGGTGGATTTTAGGGTCCCACAGGCGGATTTGGGGTGCAAAGTGCCGATTTTAGGGGCTCCTAAACGCGGATTTTAGGGTTCCACAGGCGGATTTGGGGTGCAAAGTGTGGATTTTAAGGCTCCTAACTGCGGATTTTAGGGTCCCACAGGTGGATTTGGGGTGCAAAGTGCAGATTTTAGGGGTGATAAATGTGGATTTTAGGGTTCCAAAGGCGGATTTGGGGTGCAAAGTGCCGATTTTAGGGGTGATAAATGCGGATTTTAGGGCTCCACAGGCGGATTTGGGGTGCAAAATGGGGGTTTTGGGGTTACAACGGCGGATTTTAGGGTTCCTAAGCGCGGATTTGGGGTGCAAAGTGCCGATTTTAGGGCTCCCAACTGCAAATTTTAGGGTCCCACGGGCGGATTTGGGGTACAAAGTGCAGATTTTGGGGCTCCACAGGCGGATTTGGGGTACAAAGTGCGGATTTTAGGGGTGATAAGTGCAGATTTTAGGGCTCCACAGGCGGATTTGGGGTACAAAGTGCAGATTTTGGGGCTCCACAGGCGGATTTGGGGTGCAAAGTGCGGATTTTAGGGGTGATAAATGCGGATTTTAGGGTTCCACAGGTGGATTTGGGGTGATAAGTGCCGATTTTAGGGCTCCACAGGCAGATTTGGGGTGCAAAGTGTGGATTTTAGGGCTCCTAACTGCGGATTTTAGGGTTCCACAGGCGGATTTTGGGTACAAAGTGCAGATTTTAGGGTTCCTAAATGCAGATTTTAGGGTTCCACAGGCGGATTTGGGGTGCAAAGTGCCGATTTTAGGGGTGATAAGTGCCGATTTTAGGGCTCCACAGGTGGATTTGGGGTGCAAAGTGCGGATTTTAGGGCTCCTAAATGCAGATTTTAGGGCTCCAAGGGCGGATTTGGGGTACAAAGTGCGGATTTTAGGGGTGATAAGTGCAGATTTTAGGGCTCCACAGGCGGATTTGGGGTGCAAAGTGCCGATTTTAGGGGTGATAAGTGCGGATTTTAGGGCTCCACAGGCGGATTTGGGGTGCAAAGTGCGGGGGGGAGGGGAGGGGAGCGGCCCCTGCCCGGTGCTTTCCCGTCCTCCTTCCTCCTCCTCCTCCTCCTCCTCCTCCTCCTCCCCTTGAAACGCCCTTGGCGGGCGGGGCGGGCCCGGGGCTCTTGCCGGGCTCGGGGCTCCCCCGGCCATTCCCGGCTCGGCTCGCGCAGCTCCCGGACCCTCCGGACCCGCCGGACCCCGCTGGTCACTCCCGCCGGACACTCCGGACCCCGCTGGTCACTCCCGGACACTCCGGACCCCGCTGGTCACTCCCGGACACTCCGGACACTCGGTCAGTGCCCCCCCGAACGGCCCGCGCTTCGTTCTGCGCTTCGGGCTGTGCCCGGCGCTCCCCGTCCCACGGATCCTGGGGTGCCCTTGGACGTTTTTGGGGTTCAGATCAAAATCCTGGGGTTCTCTTGGAGATTTTGGGGGGTTCAGATCAAAATCCTGGGGTTCCCTTGCAGATTTTGGGGTTTTCCCCTCAGACTTGTGGGGTTTTTCCCTTTCAAATCTTGGGGTTCCCTTGCAGATTTTGAGGTTTTCCCCTCAAAATGTTGGGGTTTTACCCTTAAAATTCTGGGGGTTCCCTTGCAGATTTCGGAGGTTTCTCCTCAAAATCCTGGGGTTCCCTTGGACATTTTGGGGTTTCAGATCAAAATCTTGGGGTGCCCTTGGACATTTTGGGGGTTTCAGGTCAAAATTCTGGGGTGCCCTTGCAGATTTTGGGGGTTTCAGATCAAAATCCTGGGGTTCCACCCTTAAAATCTTGGGGTTCCCTTGGACATTTTGGGGTTTTCCCCTCAGAATTTTGGGGTTTTCCCCTCAGAATTTTGGGGTTTT